TGTGTGTGTGTGTGTGTGTGTGTGTGTGTGTGTGTATTCTCAGAAATGGAATTGTTCAATTATGAGATAATCCTTTTTTTTTTTTTATTTGCTCCGAATGCCTTCAGGGCAGGTTTGGCTGCCTTGAGTTGTGGGGATCGAACCACAGCAACCTGAGCCTGACTGCTTTGTTGAAGCAGCCACTGAAAGAGCTGAGCTAAGGAGCAGGCCCCCTCCCATGTTTTTTGAACTACACTGGTTTTCATGGTAGCTGTGCTCTTTTCTATTTCCATCAACAATGCATGACAGTCCCAATTTCTCCACATCCTCACCAACACTCATTTATTGTGTGTGTGTGTGTGTGTGTGTGAGGGTTTTCTTTTCTGATAATAGCCATCCTAATGAGTGTGAGCTAGCAACTAACTGTAGGTTTGAATTGTGTTTCCCTAATGATTAATGATGTTGAGCATTTTTTCTTTTGTGTGTGTGTGTGTGTTCTTGGCCTTCCCTGTATGTATCTTTGGTGAAATATTCAATTCTTTGTTCCCTTTTAATATGATTTTTGTTGTTGCTGCTGAATTGTAGTGCTTTGTTTATTCTGGAGATTAATGCCTTATCAGACACCTGAATGGAAATATTTTTTCTGACTTTGCTGGCCTTGATTGTTTTTTCTGAGGAGCAAGAGTTAGTAAATCTTCATATAGCTTATTTTGTCTCTTTGTTTCTTTTGTTGTCCACGTTTTTGGCATCATATTTAGGAAATCACTGTGGAATCTAATGTCATGAAGCTGCCCCTATACCTTTGTCTAAGAATTTTGCATATGTTTTGCTATTTGATCTATTTTTACTTAAATTAAAAATATGGTGTGAGGTAAGAGTCCAGCTACATTCTTACTATATGACTCTAGGTGCTTAACCATGATATACTGAAAAAAAATGCCATTTTTCACAGAGTAGTCTTGACTTTGTTGGAAATCGGTTGCCAAAGGTTCTATTCCATTTACTTACACCTTACGTCTATCTTTATGCCAGTACCACATTTTTGATTACTGTAGCTCTGTTGTGAGCTTTGAAATCAGTGAGACCTTCCAAGTTTGCTTTTCTTTTATGAAATTCTTTTGGCTGTTTGAATCTCTTGCAATAATATCTGAAAGCTAAGAATTTTTTTTTTTTAAATTTCTGTAGAGACATTGGGATCTTGGTAGAGATTATTTTGAATCTACAGACTGCTTTGGTGGTGCCATCTTAACAGTACTGTCCTCTAGTTCAGGATACATAGATCTTCGTTTATTGGTATCTTTAATTTTTTTTAACAAGTAAAAGTTTTGTGTGTACATCATTGCCTCTTAGGTTAAGTTTATTTCTAAGTGTTTTATTATTTTGGAAGTGGCATTTAAGATTGATTTTCAAAGAGCGTTTCATCAGACATGTTGGGATTAAATTTTTTGTGAAAACTCAGCAGTTAGAAATAGCAGGGGGTAAGCGTGACAGAGAGATAGGCATGCTGTTAGAGCTGTTGGTGTTCCAGGTCACCAGAGAAGGTAGTGCTACGTCTGTTATTGAAGGTGACCAGTCTTGTCTGGAAGATCAGCACAGACCCATGTTTCAGAGGAATTCAGAGACAGAGTGAGGCACAGGTGGATGGGCTGGGAAGGCCTGGGAGGCAGAGTACAATGGGCTTCACAGATCCTGCTGGCCCCGAGAACAAGGTCAAGCTACCAAGCCAGGCTGATTAATAATGAGGAAATGCACATGTTTCTCTAGAGTTTATCTAGACACAGCCAATCAAATCTGTGGCCAATGCAAATAATGTCATCTAACCTTGGAGACAGGTAGTACAGAGAAAGGGTTTCTTCAGAAATAGACAGGGTAGTATAGAAATAACAGGTACAGAAGAGAAAAATGGTTCATGTTGTTAGCCCCCCAGAAGAGAAGTTTAGTGATATTATTACCCTATAACACAGGCATTTGAGCTTAACCTCACTCTCTGGCTGAATATCAAACACCTTAGACATAACACAGAACAGGTATTTTCCAACAATCATTGATACTCTAAACTTTAAATCCCTGTAGAATGAAAA